AATCCTCCGACCCTCTACCCCCCCCCCCCTGGGATAAATAACCCATTTCTTGGTGAGTAAATAGTGGGATGTGATACAATCCTTCTCACATGAATTATGACATTTGGCTCTTTTCTATTTTGCAGTTACGAATACGAGAGGGAAAAATCCTGTCTGAAGACCCACGTTGCAACTTGTTTTGGTAAATATGTTGACCTCGTGACGTCACTACTTCTTCATCTATTATACCATTGTGGCGACCTCACTTACCAACCCTCTATCGCCAATACAGTAATGCTTGGAAAGATCAAATGCAAGGATGAAGCATTTATGGACACCGAGTTTTGCTGGGAGTATTTCCGAGATAAGTTAAATTCCAATCGGTCTGACCCATCTTTGTGCAGGTGAGATTTGGGATGATTGCGTTGGTGCCATATGCCACTCAGATCGGCAAACCTTGATTCCTATGCCGTGTAGTTTTTCAAATACCCCCCCCCTAAAGAGGTGAGGGAAGAAGGAGAAATAATTTAGAAAAGGAAGTGTATTTGCATGCATTTCTTTGAGTTCCAAACCTGCAACCTTTTTTTACGATAAAACACTTGTGACTTACTTTTAGAAGGCTCATTCTACTTCAAGATCACTGAAATACTACGTTTTTGTTTTACATTTTTTTTTCTTTTGGTTTATTATTCGTTTCCTGAGCCACCTTTACTCGGTATTTCTCTTAAGTAACGTTTTAGTACTCCATTTGCCCCTCTTAACATGGCATTTGTAGAAAGAAACTGTATTTTTGTTAACAATCTTAGATAAAGCAAGCATTCGAAAAAGAAAGTCAACAGTTTGTGAAGGTTTCTATCAGCTTTGGTTATTATGCAGGGGGATTGATAATAGGAGATTATTGTCAATAACTATCTTACTTTATTTCATGAACTAGATGATGTACAACTTTAAATCTCTATTGGTCTAAAAGTATACTAATTAATGGATACAGTGATATTTGTTCTAATCTGTTTTCAGGGAATATGCTTTGGCAAAGCATTGTATAAATGAAAAAGCTATGGCAAATTGTGAGATATGCAGCTCGCTTGTGAGAGATCATTACAATCCGTTTTGCGCAAACAAAAGCGATCCACTAATGGTCACGAATGGTACTGACTTTTTTTTTTCTAATCATGTCTTCTGTCTGTCTATCTCTCTATCCCTCTGTCTGATTGTCTGTCTGTCTGTCTGTCTGTCTGTCTGTCTGCCTGTCGTAGCCTGTCTGTCTGTTTAACTTTCTGCCGGTCTCTTGTTGACTTTTTTTCTGTCTGCCTGTCTTTCATAATCTGTCTGTTTGGTTGTCTGTAGGTCTCTGTCTGTTTCTTCGTCTGTCTACCTGTCATAGTCTATCTTTCTGTTTGACTTTCCGTCGGTTTCTGTCTGTCTATCTCTCTGTTTGTTTGTCTGTCTACCTGTCATAGTCGAACTAACTGTTTCACTGTCTGTCGGTCTCTGTCAACTGTCTGTCTGTCGTTCGATCTGGCGGCCGTTAACAATGTCTCTTATTTGAAAGAAAGAGGCCTGATTTCAGTTTACAATCAGTATTATTGTTAAATTTTTCGATAGGATGTCAGGATTTAGCGAAGCCCCTTCCGTGTTCCTCCTCCTCAGTATACAAAACAGCGTTAGACTGCGAGAGAATTTTTTTGAAGAGCTTTATGGAAAACGACAAAACTGATTGCGGGTATGTTCATAATAGTTCTTATTTTGCTTTAGGCTTTGCCCATCATACTTGTGTTTGAGATGGAATTTAAAGTATAGGAGCGATGATTTGGAATAATACTTGAATTAAATTTCAATTATACGAACGGTACATAAAATAATGTCAAACCATACTGTTTGTCATTAGCTATTCTGTATCAGGATATCTTTGACAACTATTTGTGATACTTCTTTTCCTCTGTCTAAGGACGCGTTAGCCTCCAGTTGAAATATAAATCTAGGAGTATTTTCTCTACTAGGCGAAATGGTATATAAGTAGATATAGATAGCTGGCACTGAGTGAACCAATCAGAAAACTAGGTATCTTAAGGTATCTATCATTTACGCTAATAGAAAAACCATTTTTTTTTTGTATGTAATTTTCGTTTGTGTACAGCTTCCAGTGCATCATTTTAGAAAAAAAAAGCAGATTGACAGTTTCTATACATTTACATGTTGAATTAAAAAAAAAAATTGGGAAAACTCAGATTTCAAATTTCAACGAGAACCATCGAGTAACACTGGGTACATTACTTTAAACTTGTCCTTTGTTTAGCCAATAAAACGAGAGGGTTACGTTGACATTTCACTTTGATAGTATTCCTTGTAAATTTCCTACATTATTTGTACAAATGTTATTTCCATTTGGATTTTTTTCTGTTGAAGCGTATGGTCACGAGTTGAAATCAAAGCTGATGTAGTTGAAAAAATACACTGATTGTGAGATTTGCGGGAGAATGGGGTTTTTGTCATTATTTATCGCCGGGGGTGTGGGGTAGGGGTGGCAGGAGTTTGTTTTTGTCACGATAAAATTTACCTAATCCCCGGCCCCTTCAAAAGCAGTTAAGTGGCAGTCAACTCTCTTTAGTCGCCCCCCCCCCTCCCCCCTTATACTCTGTTGGTGACAACTGGTCCCCACCCCGTTCCTCGTGAAGTAATCACCCCAAACCCTCTGTTCTCGGCGATGAATTAAAACAGTTCCCTAACGATATTTGATCTACATCTTGTTCGCAATAGACCTGCGCTCACCACACTGAAAAGTTGCTTGGATGAGCAGTTATCTCAGAGGTGTAAAGACGACTCTAATAATCGGCGAATCGTGGCTGACATAAGGAAAGCTGTAATGGCGGTGCTTCGTGGTCCAAGATTCTTTTGTGATGCAGTGAACCTACGCACAATCGATCTTGATTTCAAAGCTCGTCCCACGATCCCTTGTAGAGCAAACTTTTTTCCAGAGATGGAGAAATGCGCCGAACCTGTAAGGACGGAGTTCAATGCACAAAACGGTATCGGTGGGGAATTTTGCAGGTAAACAGTTGTGAGCTAGAGAGTAAGCCTACGAGGATGGGAAGGGGAGATTTGGAGATAGGGAAGGGGGGGGGGGGAGCGTAGGAGGGAAACTGGCTATGCGAGGAGTAGAGCCCCTTAATTAAGTCAGAGTTTTCACAATTGTTTGGTAAAAGACTGGTGCTTGGAAATTTAAGCCACGGATCGCGAGGGAAGTGAGCTGACAATATGGAGTGTTACAGTGTTTTTAAACACTGCAATCATTCAAAATTAGTTTTATACATGCAATAGTGGTCAAGAAGTATACTTTTTTACTCTAAGTGATGTTCCACCGAGGCTTGGCTAGAACTTTTAATACTATCTTATTCTTTGATTATGTTGCATAATTTCGCTATCGTTGTTGTTGTAGTTGTTGTTTATTTTATCGCAATTGTATCTGTCTCTTTGTTTGTTGTTGCAGTGTGCAAATTATTGCAACCGCTGCAGCCTTCTTGCCAATAGCAAAAAAGAGTTAATTAGCCTTAAAGGGCAAAAAAATTAGCGATTAGGCGTAAGAATTGACAAATTTTAACCGTTAGTCATAACAAAAGAGAACCGTAAAAATGTTTTCATTTCTAGAATGTGTCATTTTGTGTCATTTTGGGTTAATCGTTAGGCGTAAAACGGCCAAAATTTTTAACCGTTAGCCATCACTCCATTTAGACTCTCTTACATTCGTTTCAATTACTAATTAACCAATAAAAACATTTTTTCTTCCTTTTGTCCGTTTTCTTCAGCAAGTTCCGCACAGCTTTAAGTTGTTCCAATGGTGTGCAAAAATCCTTTTGTGAGTTTGATGAAAGCGTTGTTGGTATGATTCAAAGATCCTACTCATCGTTTTGCGTGGATGGAACCAGCACTGGTGGAGAGGGCCGTAACAATACTGCATCTTCTACGTCAGCAAGCTTTGCTTTTTTATCTGCCTTTGTTTTTCAAGTACCGATGTTATTGGATGCCATCAACTCCATTTTGTTTTCTGTACAGTATTGATTTCTGTAACGTATTATGCCGTTAGGAATTTTTCTCCAACTTGCATATTTACCACAGTCGCTTTTCTGATCGATGTCTTTTCATTTGTTGTTCACCTTTTTAGTGCGGCCTGTAAGTCTAACTTGAATTAATATTTTATTGTTCGTGAAACTTTTCGAAGACCTTGTGTTATTTTCCTTTGTTCAGTATCGTTCCCCCCTGGGAGGGTAGGTCAGAGGAGGCGAGGGCGGGGAGGGGCGGAGATTAAAGACAATCAGATTTTATGCCCGCGGAAACATAGTTGCCTGCCAGATCTTTTGCTGTCTATATTGAAATTTTGAAGGTGTTTATATAGTCTATAGTTGCTGATAGCTGTAGGAGTTCCTAACTATGTGTTCTTGACTATGCGAAGTCGCTGTTGTTTTTTCAGATATTTTATCCCTACACAGTTGATTGAGAATTAAGAAGACAGGAAATTGAAGAAAGATAAAACAAAGCGAAAAAAAAATATTTTATTCATTTGATGGAGCAAATGACGAAAGTAGGAAGAAAAGCAACCCTTCCAACTAATGATGATTTTTTTTCTGATCTGTTTGGATTCTTCTTTGCTTATAAGGATTTAATTGAAATTAAGTAAATACGTTTAACAAAACTGTTGTAGTCAATTTAATGTGTGCCACTTATCAGACAATTTCACTCAGTACTACTAGACTGACGTCTTTCTACAAAGTGCCAAACTGTATTTAATGTATGGTTCAAGGGTATGCTATGTTAGCTGTAAGATGTCAGATATTTGGAGTCTCTTTGTATATTCTAAAATGTTCGCGTACACACACTCATAGGTGCTCGGGCACTTCCCGAATGGGCTACAAGGAGATGTTCCTCCCAAAAGGAACTCCATTTTCTCACGGTGTCAACGAACATCCTAGCAGCAGTTAGGCAAAAATGAATGAATTTGAATGATCAATCATGTGTCGAACGTTTCGACAAAGAGAGTGCACTAGAATAAGCAGAAAATTTCCCCAAATCATGTTTTTTTCTTTCTTTTTTGTTTAATAGTAAATTCTATGAAGGTTATTTTGCGTCTGATCTTTTTCGGCTTGTGTTTCGCGCGGTCTCGAAGCAGATTTACACTTTAAGTTTTCCTATCGATGGCATTACCTCTATTCACATAAGTTCATTAGGGTGAGAACAAACCGCTGGTCGAGTTTCATCAAACGAGAGGCAGAGGAGTGCATTTATTTTACTGAAAGAAAGAGAAGGAGCGGCACAAGGCTGGCAACCAACTGGAGCAATGCACTTGAATGTTTGGTGTTGCCATGAGAACAGAAGGGATTATTTATGGTGGCGGTGGTGTCGAGAACTTCCTGTTGAAAATTGCAGTGAATTTTTCGAGCATTGTTGATACATTCCCGGGCTTCCTGATAATCATTCATATAGACGCTGTAACAGGACAACACAAAAGTACAATAAGTAGAAACCAGTCATTATTTATCGCTCTGCGGGGAGGGAAGGGGGTTTATAGGACTTTTTTTTTGGGGGGGGGGGGAACTGAGGGGAATCAGTCGTCCTTAACAGAGTTGAGAGGAAGGAGCATAGAAATTTAATACCTATGAAAGGGGGGGGGGGGTCAGTAGATCATTAGAGAGCCGTCTGGGAGGAGTAGGAAATTTCATTGTGACCTAATCCTGCGAACTCTTCCCCCCCCTCCTCCACTAGATGATAAATAGTGGTCATTAGCGAGATCTGGGCAATTCGAGATCTTATTTTCCTTATCCACTCACCGATATTTATACAGTTTTCATTTGTAACATGCTGCAAAATCCGAACTTCGATAGATTTAAGTAAGGATGACTAAGAAAGCGGGGGTTTGATGACGAAATCTTTTACATAGAAACATTATTTAAGCATTTGTTTAGTCAATGACTCTAATCAAACAATCATGAAAAAATCAAATTAGGAGAAAAAGTAACTACCGATGAAGTGCACAAACCTGCAAGTTACTCCGCTTTGCCGGTCCGCCGTTGTTGAAGTTTGATAGGTATTACGAAACGTTCTAGCGCAATTTTCTGCCTCGTTAAAGAACTCGTCATCACAATCCACAAGGGGTAACACACTAGGATGCAGCTCGCTCGTGTCCAGGCTCACGTTGTTGCAAAACAGGCGCTCATTAGTCAAAGTCGCTTGAAGAGCTTTCTGTGTGTCCTCTATATTTTTCATAGTTGTCCTGCAAGTGCCAAGTCTATTTTCGAGGCATTTTCTGTTCCTATCATTCTCTTTGCTGCAAAATAAGGGACATTACGTTTTTTCTCATACACAGACACGTTTATGATGAATTTGCACTAGCGAGGTCAAACGTGACATTTACCACAAACGTCTCTCAGCTGCTTTCACCTCAAACTCACATAAATTTTAACCATTTTACACGCACGAGAACCAACAGGGTGTGTCTCCAAAATATTTCCATAACTATATTGACTAGGCCACAGAGTTATTTACGATAATTTATGAGAAATACAGTAAATCCACACGGTAATACACTTTATCTGTTTTTATGGTACTTCGCTTTAATATGTTTAGAATTACATGTCATTGGTAAAGGAAACATCTTGGTAAGAATCCTCATAGCTCATGAGTCACTTCTCTAACCCTTTTATACTTCATGTTGATAACCTTGCTGTCGGCTATGATCGGACAATTGAGGCAGCCAATTATAATAAGTCCACTTAACTAAATCCACCAATCACAGAATTGATCACAATAACCATAGCAAAAACCACTTTAAAAAAAAAAACAAAACAAAAAACTGGAGAATTTCCAAAATGGAAGAATTATTAAATCAACACATTATTGACCCAAGACACTCCACCGGAGATATTTGTTCTAGGTGTATTTGTTTTTTCGGAAATTAATCGGTAACAGGACTTCTTGTCGTCCAATTCTGTCTGTTGTGATGCGGGTGATAAACAAAATCGGACTCCCGCTCCGCGGTCGTCCGATCCTGTTAATTACAATAACTGCTCATAGGACTCCACTCAGTCCTATTACCATTATTAATCATCATGGTGGTTTCATTTTCCACGTAGAATCCTGTTTTTTAATTCTCTAATTTGAAGGCATCTCCTAAATAAGAATTTCATTTTCTTTGCAAGGAAAAATTATGGAAATGAGAAATCATTTTATTTTTATGTTGGGAGTTGAGGAAGCTTTTCTACGTGTAAATGATTTCCGCATTCGCTGCTTATAAGAAATGGAACATGTTTTTTGAGCCACGTTTGGTTATACGGTTCCAACTTTGAACAGCGAATCTTCGCTATCATACAATCGTTACTAACCAGAATTTTCAACCCCCAAATTCCCGAAAATTTAGGACGTCATTTCTACTGACTTCTGTTGAAATAGCAAACCCATCATAGTCAATCCGGTCATTTCCTTATTAGCCTGGAAGTACAACCCCCTCCTCCTAGGGATTGAGGACTGTGTTAGTGCCCAACTCACCTACAGGTGTGATCACCTTCATTGGCAAATTTAGCAGCTCCTTCATCTTCACATTCCATGGCCTCTTCATAAATAAGCGAGATGGGGCATTCCAGTTTAGCGTGAAGATCCGTGCAAGCTGCGAAATGAGATCGCGAAAAAAAGGAAAGTGTTGTATAAACTAACGAATCAATCAATCAAGAGAAAAGTTACATTTTGCTCATGAGTTTACATAAATGGAGTGAGCAATTGAGTCGGACAGGCAAACGGACGACCGAGAAAGCAGATTGAGCGAGAAATCTGTACAAATGAACTTAAATTGAAACACACAATGAAATCGGCTTAGATGAATCTTTTGGGGCCATTAACTTTTGATTTCCCTCATAGAGGATCAGTAACGATATTATCGTCACTGTCATCATCCTCATTATCATCATTAGCAACTGAACCTTTCTAATTTCGAAAGAGTTGTCGCATATCGATTCTTTGTCGGTATGAAAACAAAGTCTTCTATTAATAAAAACAGACTTACCTGACTGGTTGGTGCCGCTAACCGGGTCTTTGAAATTGGGAGCACAGAAGGGGTTGTAATCATCTATTTTCAAGTAATCGCAGAGTCCTTCACACGCTGCTCTAGCCACCGTATTGCAGTCCTCTTTCGCTTTGGCGTAGGGTCTTCAAAGATTAGACATTGAGGTTATAGTAGGTAGTAGCTTGGTAATGAGTGCGGTTTGTTGCAGTTACGTTCGACTTTTTTGAGAAGATCCTTTTTCGATAATATATATTATCATATCATGTATCAGGTTTTGAAAGCGCCAGCAAACCTTCTCACTAGTATGGGGTTAGACTCACACCCCTTAATCATTGAGGTTGGGAATCCCCTTGCTTGCTATGATAGGCTGCATTAGTAAGCGAGGAGATTCTAAACATATCTTCAATCTTTCTCATTGCCTTGCTGATTTCTGATCATTTAGGTTTGATCAGCTGGGTGGCGTGGTCGCGGAAGGTTCTCTAGGTCCGGAGTTAAAACGAATCGACTCTGAGACCAAGGTTTAGGAGGTTTATGGAGGTTTCACCCCACTGCAAGTTCGCCCCGTACCAACTTTGCAAGTTCGCCGCATGAAGTCAAGAGAGTTCGCCTCCCACCTTTGCCAGTTCGTCCCTGACTCTTTCATTTCGTATGAATACGGCAAACCTTATTCTTTCGCTATGGAAATCGTTATTTCTTTTAAAGATATTGTAGTGAATTGGTTTAGGTGTGCTCAAACGTATTATCCCTAAGGGGGGCGATCTCGCTGAGGTGGTAGGGGTAAACTCAGTTGCAGTCTACGGGGACAATCCTACTTACCTGCATGCGTTAGTAACGTTATTCCTTGATTGACTAAACACAGAGTGGAATTCTCTCCAGCACTCGTAAGCTTTCTTCAGACGTTCTGGTGCGCATTTGGTGATGAGCCACAAGAATGGGCCAATATTACCGGTATTGACTTCTTCGTCCCCACAATTGTACGCATACAAGAGCATGAAATCGGTGATTTGATCCGCCATGTCCTTCAGAACACTGTCGTCTTTTACGCAACGATCCACGTGTTTACGAAGGCATATTTGCAGTTCACTGCGGCCAAGGCTAAGGAACAAAATAATGAAATACGTCCTTTAGCGTAACAAATGAGATCTATAGGTACCTTTGCCACACACGTTCTTTAAAGCTGGCTCAGGAAGGGCTAATAATATAATTCAAGTGGGAAAATGTGCTAGAGAAGACACTTCTTCACTGTACCACTGGTTTAAAAACGATGAAAAAGAGAAAAATCCGTAATTCGTCGCACATGGAGACAGCTACGTAAAAACTGTAGAGGCAAAACCGCAAAAAAAGAGCAAACAATCAGTGCCTGATTAAAATTTTTGCATTAAAGTGGATCTAACCTGCAAGACATAGAGGGCCTCTGCTTCAGTTCTATCATCATTGCCCGTTGACAGGCTAGCCCTCCATTAGTAAAACTTCCTAAAGAACATTTTCCGATGTTCACGCCTTCTGTTTGAATCTGTATAACTAAAAGTGAAAAAATATAAGGTAAGTTCTAATCAATTAATCAAAGATCAGCGGCATATCGTCCCCGTTGTCTCCGAAAACAATAACGAGACGATATCGGTATGATGACAAAGAAACTCTGTCCAGAAGATTGTTGACAGCAGCGACGATCGGCATTAACTCGAATTTAATCGAGTCACGATCATCGCAGTCGAATAGGTCGTTAGTAATCATTCATTTTGGTTTCCCTTACAGTTATTCTGGAACGTGTCAGACAGCCCGGACGATCCGAACGATAATATGGAGCTTTTTTTCATCTCTGGGTGAAATCAATTCGTTAAGGTAAAGGTGTTATTGAAAATTTTCCCTTTGGACGCTTTGAGCTAGATAAAGACAAACCTACAAAAACAAAGCAAACAAGCGAACAACAGGCTCAGTGAACATTGTTAAATAATCCAACGATCTTGTTTTGGGAATTATTCAACAATTTTAGCCAACGGTGGATAATTTTAAAATATATTTCTTTAAGATAAATTTAAGGAAACCATAAGGAAATCAAAGAAAAAGGATGATTACGCAAGCTACTGGATGGTTCTGAACTCGCAATTTTATGTAGCTGGAGCACTAAGTCAAGTTAGTGGTCTAATTTTTTTTCAGTGATAACACTTTCAGGTCCATTTGGCAACAGGTAAACGTCGTAAAGACGTTTTTGTCTTGTTAACAATATGCAGAATGACATTTGATTTAAGCGAAGCGTTTGACGGAGAATTTGCCCAACTCTTATTTCAATCTAACATTCTAATCCAATCCCAAAAAAGACCTGGAAGAAATATGGATATAGTGATATGTTTGCGCAGGTGATTGATCGATCTAGATTTTTCAACTCGCGTGTTTATCGGTCATGTAGCCCCAGTATGCAGATGTTGACGCTTCAAGCACGCGAGCAGTGTTTCAGAGTGATCTCTTTGGCTTTAAATCGAACACAGGCATTATCTGTAGCAGCATGATTCCAAGATAGGGTTATCATATAAAACTATTGGCTGAAATGTTTTTTTCTTAGAATCGCTTGAAAGCGAAAGACTTTCATCAATGCGACTTTAATCGAATTACCACGCACTCCTTCGACCGATGATAAAACTGCAAGTAGACCCTAATTTTATCAACTTGGCACGATTATAATAAAGATAAACAGCTTTCTTCGTAATTACAAAAACTTTCTAACGTGAGATAACTACATTATGCCATAGTTTGTATTTCACTGGGCTTGCTAGGGACTTTCTTTGAAGCTTACTCAAAATATCTGTGAAATAATGTACCCACCTGCCATTATAAACACGAAAGAAGTTCCTTTGAAAGGGTCATTCATCCTCTTAGAAATTTGGGTCTACAAATTTTGAAACTACTCAGTAACTTAAACTCCCTCACGTTCGAAAGTAATTAAAAATATTCTGAAATATGCTTACAATGTCATTTGGTGATAAGTAATGTATGCATGATTGTTTAGAAAATAACAGCATTAATTTCAAAGAGGGAACACAAATAATTTCCATAATATCTGCAGGGGTCGTTCTAGAAGCTGTACGATTACGTGTTTCTCAGTTTTCCCAGTCAGATGTCCATTATTGGAAGCAAATTCAGGGTAAAAGTTTGCACGAGGTCTCAGAAACTAAATATCTTAAATGATTTTCAGTTGGGTTTATCAACAGGAATACCTAATTTTATATCACATTTCTGCTTGGATATGTGTTCCGGTTGGACAGGTTTGAAGTCGAGGCAGATTTCTAACAGTAGACGTTCCTTGTTACGTCAATTTCCCAGCGCAGTCAGCGCCGTCCTTCCACATACGTCGTTTATCTATAGTTTCCCAGGACTGACCAGCAGAAATAATTTTAACTGACACCATGGTGTATTAGTGTATTTTATGAAGAGTTGGAAAGGTGCCACAATGAACCAACGTTTTTCGAAAGACTGTTCTAGAATGTTTTAGTAAACATTTTGCTTTAGATGCTCTTGACCTGTTTATCAATGGACATAGCAACCAAACAGTGATGCACTCAACTGGCATTACCGCATTGTGAATGATCAATCGTTTGTCAAACTTAATAACGTCACATCTGAGCTCATCAACACTGGTCACCCATGACTAACCTTCGATCCTTATAAATTAAGAAAGGGACTACATAGGAATAGATGAAAAGTTTTTGCAGTACGTTCTACGGGGATGTTCCGCCCAAATGAGGAGCCATTTTTCCCCGGTAACACTGAATATCCTGCTACAACGGAAGGCAGAACTCACGCACTCTGTTTTAGAGATAAACACAGTAACTGAACCGTGAATCAATCAACTACTCTAGTGGTCTACATAGTTTATCATCAGTCATGTGTCAAACTCCGATCTCGCTTACAACACAGGCTGCTCAGTACCTTCACGAGAGCCCACGAATTCCATTAAAGAAAGTGCACGGGAATAAAAAAAATCCAAATCAGTTCTTTCAAAGATAAGAAATACGAAATGAGAAAACGTGAGTTTGTGTGGTGTCTTTGAAGGCTATTGCCTATCAAACTGACTTTATTAAAAATACTAGGCAAGATTGAAGTGATCACCCTTTAAACACTAAAGAATAAGGATGAATAGATATATTTCACTGAAAAAAAGAGTTGGAGTTTCATTTAAGATTGTATTAAATGGGCGAATATAAATACATGTTATCCCGGCTAAGATTTGCGACAAGAATCGAGAACAGAAAACAAATTATGCATGGAGCGTCAAAGGAAAACAATCAAACAACCAGAAATCAAACGATATACAAACGAAATTTAAATAGTAAAGCAGTTTTTGACCATGAAAATAAGTTTTTTAACGATTCTTTTTGTCGTCATTGTTTTTCGTCCTAATATTTTTCACACTTTTCTCTTCTTTTATTTACCCGTTTGTTTTGTTTTGATTTGTTCGTTTGTTTTGTTTTGATTTGTTCGCTAGCTTTCTTATTTGCTTCCTTAGTTGACAATAGTTACATTTGTGCTTAAGATCTGGCTCTCCCCACTACCATTTTCCATTACCATTAGCGTGCATCATACAATTATAAGTGTCTGGTTAGGGAGAAATCTTGATCTCAAGGTCCAACTAAAAACGCGATGCTGGTAATGAACAGAAATAGTATAGTCCCTTGACCACCATTTACTCCACTCCTTAATGGATCTTTACCATTGTCACAAAAAGGGTTATCGTCACCAAACATGGTCGCCTTTAATGAGCTTTGGTCAAAATTACAACTTTCCTCGTGTGCTCTGTTGAGACACTTCTTGGCATCTGCAAAAGAGCTGAAAAGTAGAAGAAATATTTCCGTTACTACAGAGGGATATCAAGAACAATCTAAAATAAATCCAGCCCATTTCTTCCCCCAACTTAGAAATCAAATGGATGGTTGTAACCAAACCAAGAAAGAATTATCGGTGGGGTGACACGAGAATAAACAGAAAGGAGATACCTTTGAAAGGGGACAAATGCTACCGGGGTTGATCCCGGTTTCTTCACCATTTTAAAGTGTTACCAATCTTCTTCTAAAAGGAACGCCTATTCATCACAGACACTCTCTTCTCCTCACCCGCCCCCGACATCACCTTATGAAGGCTGACGAAACTCGCCAGATAATCGCTATCTTGTTGCGAGATTTCTACAAAACAAACTATTATCCACCGGAACCCAGCAGATAGTGATACATTCCCTAGACAGCGTGACTCACTTGTTGTGAGTACCCAGTTGCATAAGAACATAAATCAAATGAAATTGAAGTGTAACCATATCGATACTTCTGCGTATCATATACTCACGAGCAAACTTCTTGGGACTTTTTCTTCACCGAATTTTCATATATGCTTCTGAAAGGCTCCGCACATTTCTCAGCAGCGGTGAAAAACGCCGGCTTACAATCACCTGTCTTAACGCTTTCATGAAGTGCGGCCTTGTCCAGAGTCACTTTGCCACAAAAGAACTGCTCCACCATCAGAGTTGCTCGAAGAGTCTTCACACTGTCCTCAAAAACTTTATCATCTCGCATGGAAGAGCACTGCGTAACCAACTTCTCTCTCAAGCAATTCTTATTTTTCAAAAGGACCATGCTATAGGTAAATATATTTAGTGAGTAACTTTTAATTGCGTTCTACAAACTACAGGGGCAGGGTATTTGATCCCGGAAAGTAACACTGCTTTGCTTGCCTTAGTCAACAATCGTGCACGTATTAGCAGAGGATTAGATTGCTAGACTGAAAAAAAAAAACTAAATGAGGGGTAAAAAAATTACTAAGCGATTAGTAATTCCTGTATAGAAAGTATACAATTACCAGATAGCTCTTTCAAAGGTCGTCTGTACCGTAATATTATACAGGTCAAAGAAAATTAATGATCTGACTTTGCACCTTGTAAAGAAGATGGAGTTTTTGTATTCATGATTTTAAGTCAAACGTACATCCAAATTGGATTCTGTCATCATTTGGATTATCTAAGTACTAACCACTGCGCAATCACTGGTGTTATGGTGTGCTGCCCCTTTTTCAGTAGCAATACTTTTCCTTTACTTCATTTACCAAGGTAGTCTATGCTTTGAAATCATGATTTATGAGTTTCGCAGTTCACTAGCGTAAAAGTATATCATACGTCTGGCGCTAAACTTACTATAGTACACGTTCGCCCTGGTTGTATTGTTGTAACAGGAACCTGTCCTGACGCTCTTACCTGCAATTGTTCCCGGAAGCAAAGTCTTTAAAGCTCTCTGTATCACACCTCATTGCATTATCGTAAACTACATTATTTGGGCAGAGGAGGGGGAGAGGATTACAGTCTGAAAACAGGAAAAAATGTTGATATAGAGAAAATGGAGACGGCATGCTCAGTTGTACGTTACCAAAGTTGGACAAGAATACCAACTCATTTGATGATATTTTGTTATGGAAATAAGTGTGGATGACTCGCGCGAAACGTCTACCAGCAATTTTAATTTTAAAAAAAATTTTTTCATCGTTAGACAGTTTAAGTGATATCGAACGAAGGATCCAAACGCCAATTATGAAACTGGTAAAGACGTGACCCCAATGCAGAAAGGAAGACACATTATTGGTATGAGCTTTTCATATAAGAGAACCTTTTTTCTAGTTGGATGTGGTCATAGTAAACTATTGAGAGGAAGAATAAAATTTAAACGGCATAAAATGTTTACCAAACAAGGTAGTCTGTGTTGGAGGGTCCATTCCGTCGGCACAGAATGGATTATAGTCGTCTTTGGTGATGTATTGGCAGATATCTTTACACGATTCTCTTGCCCCGTTGGTGCATTTTTGTTTCCCTTCCGCATATTTACTATGTTCAAAAAAATAGGTGATGATACACAATTAGCGGCCTAGAAGTCAATTGGAAACACAATTTCACAGACTCGCTAAGGAATCAGTCAATCAGTGAATGAATTAGGCAATGAATCAATGAATCATAAGTCAATCATAAATCAATTAATCAACTAGTCAAGTCAAGTACTCAATTAATTGGTCAATCAATCAAAAGAACCGACTAATCAATTTTTTTGTAAATGAATGAATTAATATATCATTTAATCAATCATCAATCAGTCTGTCAATCAATCAATTAATCAACCAGTCATGTCAATTACTCAATTAATCAGTCAACCAATCAAAACACCAAATTGACCGGTTAATTCGTAAATGAATGATTGAATCAATCAATTAACCAATTCTCAATCAATCAATCAGTTAATCAAACCGACTACTCAATTTATAAATCAATAATTCAAGTAATCAATCAAAAAAATTAAAAGTCAGTCAATCAATCCATTAATCCGCCAATCCATTAATCAATCTTTCAAGAGTAAATAAATGGCCATACAGAAAGTAGTTAATTTTTTTTTTCAGTGATGCTCTCTTGTCGATGATCATAGAAATTGTTATCTGCGGTGGTAACCTACCTGCATAATGAGGAATCGTTCCTGCTTGCGTTAAAAGTAGTACGGAAATCATCCCAGCAGCCAACCATCCCTTCCAGTTTTCCTGCATCGCAATCGACTTGACCGAGGATTAATGGGTTTATTCTTGATACCTCAAAACTCAGCTTTCCGCAGTGATAAACTAGCAGTTCAAGCAGCTTCACTATCTCACCTTTAAACGCGTTTAACAGCGGAACACCATCCACGCAACTACTGACATGACCATTCAAACAGATAGATTGCTTTTCGTATTCAAAGCTGCCAAGAAAACAAGCGTAACAAGCAAAAACATCAAACAAAGGAATTAAATCAGTAAATGTTTTTAATTTTTGATAGTGACATGCTTTTCCAATAACATCTTCTTTTTTTTTCTGATCAAGTTTTATTTTGCAGCTTCCAAATTCCATGACCATAAAGGAAATGACTTGTAGTGGTAAACACATTGAAATTGATGACAAAAGAGAGGCCACTGATTTTCGCTGAAGCTATAATCAAACCTCCAAACCTGCAATTCAAGCTGGCGTTGTTTTTCAAGTTTGAAATCAGAGTCCTCTGGCATTGCTGTCCTCCCTTCGTGAAAGTGGTCAGATTGCATTTCCCGATATCTTGGCCAACAGCGTGTCTAAGTAGCACTGTGGGGGAAACATTTTAGAGAACTCAGTTAAATTGGGGGGACTTAGCAGAGATCAGGGCCGAAAAAAGTACAATTCAGCAAAAGAGAAACGCGCTGGACACATCAAAAGAAAAAAGACTACGAAGGTCATGGCTTGGTAATAGACCTCGCTCACCGTATGATCTCGGTGGCTCTGTGACTCAAAGGAATTCCGAAGGCCTGAAGTTCGATTCCTCATGGGAACACAGAAAATTTTTTCTTTGTTCCACGCTCGTTACAAGACGAAAAAAATTTTGCTCTGTTTCACCAAAAACATTTTTGATCGTGATGCTGACTGGCTAAAAAGGAGAAAGCAACCTCGTGAGCGTGAGCATGCTTTAAGTTGCAGTTTATCACACTTTGAAATAAATTCGCACATTCCAATCGTGTCAAATAATTCTGGGCTAAAGGTGTTTTGCTTTGCCTTTCCCTACTTTTGATGGTTTGTCTAACCGTTTTGCTTCAGCATGGTTATGTTTTTCTCGGTATTGTTTTTCATGCTGTTTTTGTATTTGTTTTGTTTTGTTTTTTTTTTTTCGTGTGTGCTGTTGCCTTTACTTTTTTCTCTTGCTTCTCTCTTTGTGCCTCTGTTTTTATTCGGTTCTTTTGGTTGCCAGTGTGTTTGTTAGTTTTTGTTACTCTCACTTTTAGATTGGTCGTTGTGAAATGTTTCCACGCAAAAATTGATTTCCTAGATTTATCATGAATTTAATTGTGTATTAAGTGAGTTGTAATTTCGTTATCGTTAAAGTACAGTCAACGTTATAATTAGAAGTAGCATGTAACTGGGAGCGGCATAGGGTAATCAAATGAGTTCTGCGAGCAGTGATGTATGAAATTAGGCATTTGCAGGGCATTTAAGCGCGTAGGAACTTAGCAGCATGATTGTCAAAAAAAACCATGTTTAAAAGGAAATTAGTGCCCACGAATCGTTGCAAAGCGTGAGCGAATCTTGATATCCCACACGGAATTACGTATCTGGGTGTGGATTTCCTCAGCTAATAAATGTAACATTTTTGTAGCCCTAGGATAAGATTGTAATAAAGTAGATAGATCGCAGAACGGAACGTGCACTGCTGAATTGTCGTCAATAAAGCCTGAATCAAAAGAAAGTATACAGTCCAAGATTACCGAACCAGCGCGTGCGGAATTCTCAGCAACAAAAGTGGGAAATTCTGCGAAACTGGTTTAGAAATCCGCGCGTTCGAAAAGTTCTCTGACAGAAAACAACATGCTTATGAAATTTCATAAATGTGATTTTCAGTCAATTATTCGTAAGCTAATCCTTATTCGCTCCATTTGCTTTAGTCTCCTTGTTATGAACTGTTAAAATAACCCAGTCATGCATATTTGTGTAGGCAATATAACTCATTGAAAACAATGCAGCGAAGAAAAAGAGCAGTCGAATATGAAAATATGAATAGGTTAATTTCAATTAAGCAGGGCATGCGTCAATTTAATATTAGGTAAAATTTCCGCACAGCCCCATACTATTGTTAAAAAAATCTGTTTTCCCAATATCCATGTATTGTTTTTGTCGTTGTTTTCTCTCTTCAAAAACTGAATGCATAATGTGGTATGGGGCTGTGCGGAGACTTTACCTTTTTCGGTCATGTTATCCGACAAATGCAGTTGCTTCTTCTCACAATGGAAATCTTGTTGAAAAGAAACGACCGCTCCCTTGTTCTTTGTGGCATACAAGAACTAACAATCTACGTTTGTACAAGGACCAAAAGTCAACGTCGTTCTAATTACCGATTTCGACAAAACTTTGCATTTCTAAAGCGCAAACGAATTCGATATCCTCGATGACGACGCAATTTATTATACGTCTTCGACTGAGTCTGAAAACTTTCGATAGTAAAATTTCCGCAAAGCCCAATACTATTGTTAAACAAATCTGTTTTCCCGATAGCCATGTATTGTTTTTGTCGTTTTTTTGTATCCAAGAACTGAATGCATAATGTGGCATGGGCTGTGCGGATATTTTACCCTTTCACTCTCGCTTTGACCCTTGGAATGGACAAATGGCTGCAAGAGATCTGATCGAAAGGAATCTCGATGTTTATCATACTCACCTGCTACAAATATAATGTGGATGCACCTTTGCAGCGCATGATATCATTCGATATACGACTTCAAGGGACGCAAACTATAAGAAGTAGAGGTTTACTAAAACAGAGTAATCACTAACTGTGAAATAGAACTGACAGCACTCAATCTTCAAGTTTTGGTACGAATTATGCAAATATTGTATCCTTGCGGTAATTTAAAAAATGGAAATTTTTCATCACAATCGAGGGTAAACCAATGAGATCGAAGTCATCGTTTATACAAACTTTTTTGACGAAGACGATCTTAGATGAGGGATGAAAATAAATCATAAAATTTGGACTATTGAGTGGGAATTATTTGACGACAATTTCAATTCTTTGCATTTTCACGACTGAGTCGCAAAGTGACCCATTATCACGGTAATGTTAGCCTTGCATCATTGTTCTTTGGTTGAGTGAATCCATTTTTTAGCGGAGTGTTATTAAGTCAGCATGTGGTCTAGTATCTTCAGGACATAACAAACTCCTCAGCTCATGGCAAGCACGATGATGTATTAACCGACCTTTCCTTTTAACAATCGAACAAAAAGCACATGTACATGAAAATTAGCCGACTTGAGCCTGTACTCGCTCTTTCCGCGCCACAGAGCATGAAGATGTGTCAAGTTTGGGGCCGACCATATAAATTCCGTTTAATTACTTGAAAACACAGCTGTTCTTACCTAAAAAAATAGCCAAAGGGGCTCTCAAGCCTTGAATATAAAGGGACGAAAGTGAACTCTTACGAGTGCTCATTCCCCCTCTGTTCTAAAACTATTAGCTTTTATCAATGTTCATCAGGATTATCGATATTGATTGTTTTTCCTGCATTTCAAATATGTAAAACGAGATGCTTACAAGTCCAGCATAAGTGATGCAGCACGACTCCACACTCCACAATGATCATGTCCCTGTTTTGCATTTTAAGCAGTTTTTCGCTTTACAATCGAATGAGCACTCATCATGGCGGCGATGGCATCTCTTAATGTAGCTACGATCAGTTTTCCAGTGATAAGTTCCTTCGCAAGGCTATGATCATATCCGAAAAAAGCGAGGTGGTCGTTTTACGACGTGATTTACGATGAAAGCAATGTTGTTGCTGCACAGGACTTGGGTTCTTACCGCAAGTTTGGCGAGTGAGTTTGTTAAACAAAGATAAACTTTATGGACACTCCATCCACATACACTGAATATGAAGAGAAAATCAACGAAAAAATCCTAATCAATGAATGTCAATGAAGTATGAGGCCGAGCCTCTTTCTTCTTAGAGAGACTAATTGTCGTAGAGAAGAAGAGGAATATCATGACAAGCATCGTGCAAGTTTTTTTACTTATTGAAGTCGCGTGTTTCTAACGTACTCAGCATTGCCAACAACAAATCGACCTAGCAAATATGACGAACTTTCTATTTAATGATCTTGCAGTTCTGCTAGCGTGAAAATGAATGACCTGTTCACTGGACTAGATTTCACACTCAAACGAGCTCTTATTTAAAGCGAGCACTAAATTCTTTTTATTTTGTCTTCCTTTTATCTAAATAAGAAATTATTTGAGTCATGTAACATATTTATTTTGCAGAATCGAATGTATAAATCGCATTGGCTGTAGCTTATCACGACTCAGTTTTCCCTGATGTGCTTGATAAGTTAGTTAATTCTGGGACATGAAAACAGCATTCATAACAACAACAACAACAACATCAAAAACAACATTGTCTCCTTTTGAAATTACCGCCATGGGAAAAAGTCAGCTAATTCTGGATAATTAAAAATTGCCTAATGTTTGAGATGAAATTAGATTAAAACTTCCCTCCTCATTGGAGACTCCTACATCGTATAAAGTAAACTAATCTGTGTTTTTCTTGTATCCTTCCCTCGACAGCTCTTCATGGCTGCGTGGCTGATCCAAAGATTGGTGAATGCAACATGACCTATTTCATAACAGGAGGATTCAGTTGTCAGAGGAAAATGGTGTCTGATTTAAAACACAAACCAAATGCCAACTGCAGGTACTAGTCGATTTTCAACCTCATGAGAAACGTTCGTACTGCACTGGCTGATTTTCTATCAGGACATCGTGAACGGCCCTTATTATTTCCTAGTGGATGATTATTTCAAAAATTCTGCAGTCTTTTGCAGAATTAAAGCTCCTTTTCTTGGTAATTCATTTTTTGTTCAAAGTCAGCGTAAGTTTTTTATTTTAATTTTTTTTATGACAAGTAATATCACACTGCTAAGCTCCGAGTCTCTCCGATAATAAGACACTAATTCGTATTAAGCTTTAAAGAAGCAACCTGACGGTTAAATTCCATTATTCTGGAGAAGAAAATACAATGCAAAAACAAAAAGACAAAAAAAACAAAACAATCATTATCATGCCAATGTAAAAGGCTATTGCATTTTGAAATAACCAAAAACACCATTGGGCCAGTTCCAGAGTGCATTCTTACTCATAAAGTGTAACGGTCTTAGTCTGGAATCTTACGTTAACCTTATTTTTCGATACCATTTAGACTTTCCGACTTATTTTGTTTCCTTCAATCTCTTTAGTGTTGAATATCAAGATCAGACCTCATGTCTGGTTGATCATTTGAAGTCTTGCTTGACTGGTCTTTTTGCTGGTTTTGTTCCTGCCGTCACATCGTTGATAAAATTACTGTTATACCATTGTGGGGATCTTAAAGTGGATCCGGCGTTGATAGATCAGTTCCTGCTTAATCAAATCCAGTGCAAGGGTTCAGTTTTCGCGCAAACTGTGGAGTGTTGGAATGATTTTCGGGAGAGGTTGAACAGAGACAAGACAGATCCGAAGCTCTGCAGGTATAAAACTCACTTTTACCAGCTGATCTTGAACTTGAATTGTGGAGTTCTCTCAAAACAGAGATTTATCGGTGATGGTCAGCTATCTCAGGCTTGAGCTTTTAAATTATATATTACAACATGTATGTACTTCCTCTTAACACGGTCATTTGAGAAAAACTGTTTGTGCTAGTTCAGAATGTTTTTATTTTTCTATTACTCAGTAATTTATCTCGGAATCCGATCTTTTTATTATCTTAAACAGTGGATTGTGTCCGTCTAGGAAAATCTTGCCGCAGTCAAATATTATACAAAAAAAATTAAATAAAATAAACGTGTAGATGGGGAATAAAGCCTTTCACCTCCATAGAAGGCTTACCACCAGATAAAATGAGTTGCCATTTGCTTCCATTTGTATCTTCACAGCGACTACGCTGTTGCAAAGGAATGCGTGACAAGAGAGGCAAAGACTGGTTGTGCAATCGGACAGTACGTTAATAGGGACTTGTTTAACCCTTTCTGCACATACAACACAGATCCACCGTTGAACAGTTCTGGTAAGATAGGCATGATTTGCTCCACTTGAACACTATGCTTTAACAGTCATCACAGTGACTACGTGGGTAGCGACTCATCATCATCACTTTCAGTTTTGGCCAGGAATCCACTGGTCAAAAAGCTGATCAACACGGTATAAGCACTATCGATGGCTTGAGTTAATTTAAAACTTTATCTTTAGCTAATCTGGAAATTTTGCTCATTTTGTGGTTCATATCCTTTCTATTTTTGTGTAATATTCGCATCAACTATGTGGTATTGCTTTTTTAAACATTATTTTTTTACCATTTGCAGAACCATCAATCTATATTGGAAGTTGCACCACCCAGACGTTCGCTACGTCGGCATATTCATGTCAACGCAAGATGATTACAAACCTGGCGAAGAAAAATAGCCCGACTTGCCGGTAACCCACATACCTTAATAAAAAAAAAAGGGCAAAAATGATATGTTGTATTAATTTGTTCTGTTTCCGCTGTTCTATCTAACTAATGATAATAATAATGATAATAATAATAATAATGATAATAATAATAATAATGATAATAATAATGATAATAATAATAATGATAATAATAATGATAATGATAATGATAATGATAATAATAATGATAATGATAATAATAATGATAATAATAATAATAATAATGATAATAATAATAATTATGATAATAATAATAATATTATTAATAATAATAATATTATTAATAATAATAATTTAAAGAAAACACCGCCTTCAATCAGTTTTGCTACCTGGGGCAAACTAGGATGGTCACTTCAATAACCAATTCTTAGAAATGAGTTTTATAAAGGTGGCTCCCACTTGGGGGGAATATTTTGATAGCTCTTACAGTAATTGTAAAATGCGGTTTGTGTCATATATAGAAAAGTTCAGGACCGTTTACAGAAGCTTTTTGGAATATTCTCCTCTCAAACTTGATTTCTCCTTTCTGTATACAGGCAGGAGTATAATAACCTAAAGCTTTGTTTGTCAGCGACTACGGATAGTTGTTTAACAAATACAGCGCTCTCTCCATTCAAAGACGAAGTTCAACGACTTGTACGAACACTTTTATATCACTGTGGAGATCTCAGAGGGAATGAGCTATCTATAAGCCCTTTCCTGTTGGAGGCATTGAACTGTAACAAGAGTATGTTTGAGACTTCCGTGGGATGTTGGGATCAGTTTCGTCTCCGATTGATCTTAAACAATGAAGACAGGCAACTTTGTGTGTAAGTAAAATTTCTCGTTCTGTATAACTTACTAATGAACAATGAATCTATCTCCCCGACTGTAATCGTTTTTATGAATGCTCCAATGTTACGTCAACCAGTCTTGCTGAAAGAGGAGGGAGTGGGGGTGGGAAGGAGAAGCGATGACGGAGTTGAATTATTTGGGAGAAGGATAAAGTCCACACAGATTATTCTTCTGACAGCGTTTCACTTTAATGACTTTTATTAACGTTTTTATGACAGTAACCTTCGTTTTGATAGTATTTAGTTCAATTTCTACAGAGATTACGCTAGGTCTAAGCAATGTATCTCGATGGCTGTACAAAATGGTTGTGCCATTGGAGATCTCATGGAAGACGACCTTTACAACCCATTTTGCGTGGATGGCATCGATCCACTTGCCCTTCCATCTGCCTCAGGTGAGTTGGATTGGCTCAATGGGAAACTTTAAAATGCAAATTTTTTCCTCCGCAAGGGTCCTGCATTCCGAACACCACTATTCTGTTATCAGCTTGTTGGCATTCATCAGTGTCACTACTATTGCCATCATCATTATCATTACTATCATTTTTCATCATAAAAGTTGTCAAAAAAATATCAAAAATAAAAATATTTATCATGGTCATCATGTAATTTAACATAATACTTGGCATTGATGTCTTGATTAATGCATGTTTTGCTTTCTTGCAGCTCTTATATCTGGACGGTTTACATTTGTGTGCGGAAACGATTTCTTTTACAGAAAGGGAATTGAATGTGAAGACCATTTCCTCACAGCCATCTATTCCGCAGAAGGAGATGCCAATTGTGGGTAAGCATTAAAAAGAAATAACTACATAATTTTGATTTTAGATCATGTAATCGCGAGTCCCAGTTTGGTAGTTCAAATGTTTTTCTATCTACAAGGAATTAAAATGAAGTAAGTTCCTTTGCATTTTTCTGGGAATCAAAATCCCAGCCATAAAACTTTGAGCGTACAAAATATTTCTATAAATCACAACTTGAAATGTTTTGCGATTTTTTGGTGGTCTTGATTTTGGATAATCGAACCCAAGTTATTTTACAATTCCTTCGACTTATTAGCTTTAAAGAAATAAATTACCTTTACTCGACTCGTACTGAAACATCCACTGATGGGTGGCAGTATCTCTAAAAAATATATACGGACGTTTTCAAATATCTGTGTGAAGTGGTGTACCTAGCAAGGTGTACTTGACTCTATTGTCATTACATAATGTTTATCATTTCAGACGTCAATCTGAGTCATTCTTGCGCTGTTTAAAAGAGAATTTTGAACCTTGCATCGAACCATCTCCGAATTCCATTCTATTGGAATCGCTCAGCATCGTAGTTCTCCAAAGCTTACAAGGAACACAACTACTTTGTGACTCGTCTGTGTATCAAATTGCTTGGGATGATCTTCCACCTCTTCTACGAAAAGTAGCAACTTGTGACAATGATTATTCAGCTGTTGTCGCTGATTGTGGTAGAACGTTCCGTTCCAAGTTTATTCCCGTTCCCTCGCCCCTGTGTGAAGAATTCGAGAATGGAAAATCTTGCATCGATGAGGCAAGGCAAACACATTGCTCCTTTGATGTTCAAACCCTGCGAACTCTCAAGGGTAATATAAATCCATTCTGTGACAACAGAACTCGACCTTTATTTAGAGACGTCGGCAGTTGTCAAAGTATAAACCAGAAACTGGCTTTTGCCGTGCTTATTTTTAGTGTCATGAGCTGTGTTTCTTGCAGGTAGCTCTCCACATATACAGATAGCTCATATATGTTAGACCTGCAATAATCATTGACATCTGGTCTACCTTTTGGTGATGTAAATAGAGACGCATTCTTTTTGTATAGATATCGCTACCGTGGATACTGAGAGAAACAACTTTAAATAAAGAAGGGGCTCGAGGGATGATAATTTTCAGTTTTTTAAACAAATCTCATCTCAACTGCATCATTTCTTCTCAACTGCGTATGAATTTTGTTCATCTTCTGGTAAATAACAGGTCCTTCTTACCTTATAATCCCTGCGGTAAATGAATGAATTTGAAGAACTGTAGATATATTCACGCCCGTTTTAGACCAGGTAACCGTTTTGGACTTCTACTTTTCTAAATCAGAGCCAAGCTAAGTTAACCACTAACTGCATCTATTACCTCAGCAGTCTTCTGACCTTTAATTTTCATTGGGGAAACAAATGTTGAAGGAATCAAGATTTTTGCCCTGGGCATTTACTCGAAATATATTGATTCACAAAGCGATGAGATTTAAGACTCCTGAGGAAGATTTAGCAGAAAAATGCCCTGGTTATGTCGTTCCATTCATATCATATCGCAGAAAAGTACGTTATGTATGACAGCGGCAAGTGAGGTTTTTGCCACCAAATATGACTTCCCATTGTAAGCAACAATAAACGTCATCGTCACAACATTGCACAACGTAAACTGTTGCGGTAAACTTAGCGAAAAATGCTTTCTTTGAATATGATTAGGAGTTCTATCACGGTCTTATAGCGAATTTCGGCTATTAAATGACTGTGCAGTGTCTTCGCTTGTTTTCGGTCAGTTCATGGTTAAGTTAATTACTACAAATCAAAGTCCTTGTGTGATATCGTAAACGGAAGGGGTCTAGATCGAGATTTGCTCCTAAAATAGAAATAAGCATGCCAAATTTTACAAAACTTTATACATGCCCGGGGAGTTGTTACGCTGTTTATTAAAAGATGAAAGCCAGCCAACTGTGTTTTAACCAATGAATCTTATTTGTTAATCCCCTCCCTACATGGAGTAACCATACCAATGTATTGTTTCATACTTTATTTAACTGATGATTTTAAAACATTCCATTTAGGGAGTGATCTAGAAAAGACCTCAACTGCTTTACACAAGAGCGCTGGTTAAAAATTTATCATCTACCTTACCATTCGAAGAAGTTTCGGTGAAGAAACTGTTAAAGGCAGAGTCAATGCTTTTAAGTTGGCGATAGACAGATAAAATTGTGTTTAAAACTTCCAAAATCAAGAAAGTATGCAAACTTTAACATTTCTTTATGGAGCGAAGGTGAGTTTTCTGTTTTCAAAGTGCGAGAATTGAAGTTTCGCCGGATCAAATAAAGAAAAATATGAAATAAGCTTTCGTTGGACTTTTCAAACTTTTATTTCATATTCAGCTGCTCGTCAGATTAAGTTGTGCGTCAGGTAAATAACCACAATGACCTTCGGTATTTCATTTTTAGGAAGTGGCTCTTTTCATTTCCCTCAGATCAATGATAGTGATCATGAATGCTGCCATCAATAACGCAGGTTTGTCTACGATTTCTTGTAAATGCGCTATATCCATGAAACATACTTATCTCTTTTTTCCTCCATGTTTTTGTTATTAATGTTGAAACATATTAAATCCCTAGAATAATCTTTACAGAAAGTACTATGTTAACCTTGGCTGTTTGTATTGGTATCTGGGGCTTCACTTCCACTTAGTGTTTGTTTAGTTTTCATACGCACCTTGTCTTAATTTGCATAGGATTACTTCAATTTTCCATGATCATTATTAAAACGACGAAAGGTTCGGCACTAATATTCGCACCTCCTTTGCGGACCAAATTTATTTTCAAAAAGTTTCCAAATTTTCAGTGAGTTCTCTTTTTGATCTCTAAAATTATTTAACATGCTTTGATAATTCTTGTACTGGTTTACTTGTAATTAAATTTTAATTCTTAAAAACAAACATGTGATTTCAAAGAACGTCACTATGATGTCATAAGACTGGTTAATATTTAACCAGAAACAAAACCTTGACTAATTCTCCTATTTTTCCATGAAAATAAATGAAAAGTGATAAGCTTGAAAAATTGATTTTATGGCCAATTCTTTTCTACAGCTCCTGACTATTCATTTGATACCAAATACACTAAGTATATACATATATAGAGAAGTAAAACTTGCACTTTTTCCGAACAGGGTCATCGTCTAAAAAAAACTGAAAAAAGAGGTAAAGCAATACAAGAGCTGAATATTTTTTTTTGTCATGTGTTTTTTAATCTATACTTTCAATTAACATTAAAATGATCAGATGCACAAAATCTCACTGATTGGAAGTATCCCCGTCCTTTTGTTAATTTTGCTGGTGATAAATTTGACAGCATGGGGCAGCAAATAATCCCACATCACAATCAGGACAATAAAAATTAGTTTTCCTCTTTGTTATGTTGGTTGTGCATACTATGCACCTCCTTTCAAATCTCTTCCCACTTTCGTTGCAAGGAAGATAAGAAGGAAGATATCTTTCCACAAATCTGGCCTGAGGCTATTTAAGGGATGCTCTACCCCTCTTCTGACGAGCTGAAAAACTGCCAATCAGATCTTTCACCGAAAATAATCGAAAGCTATTTAGTTCTTTCTTCCCATGGTTTGGCAATTCATTATGGAGAATAAGGCTATTTTAGATAGCCCTGTCTGTGAGGTCAAATGACAACCTCGTCCACCACATCTTCTTGAGATAGAAAGTTGTTAATATGACTTCATCTGATCATTTTTGTTGACCCGACCAATATACTTGTTGTACATCAATACTATGGATGGGTATGTCACTGCCTGCAAGTTTCCATCCTTAGCCCTCCTTTGTACTTCTGAGAGATAAGCAGGAGGAGTATGTAGAATGGAGCCTTTCATTCTTCACAACGCACCAACCCGAGGCAAAATCTTTATTGTGATCTTGTGGAATAGTACACAGGGAAATCCCTTTCCGTTTTGTCGGACAGTTCCACAACAAAGTGCTTTTTAACTGTACAGGTTTCCCATAAGTTTTCAAGAAGTAAAGAAATTGTAAAAAAAGACAATACCATTTGCTCGTCATGTTTTCCCAAAGACTCCACACAACAGTGTAGCCCAAGCCATGCTGAACTCTACTAGGCTGTTTACCTGTATAAACATCAAATGCACACAAATATCCGGTTATGCTGTCTGCTCGACACCATAACTTGATGCCTCTTTTGATGGGGTTCAATGACATGTATTGCTTCAAAGAAGTTATCCCTTTCTGTGTCACCATCGCGTTATCAACAGCGTGCTGCCGGTGAGGTTTCTATTACATTGACCCAGCAGCTGACATTTTTTAGTTGCCATCTACATGCATGTTGTATAGCAAATCAAGAAATCGTGTTCGAGTCATTAGCTTTGTGAATGCAGGCATGCCAAGAATCCAATCTTCACTCCTCAAATCTTTCAATGAAGGTAGAGAGTGGAAATTCATTGCAATAAGAGGCCCTAAGAATGCTTTTACTCCTGTCAAATCAACTCGTCTTCAAAGTGATGAGTCTTTCCCAGACTCTTCCAGCTTTTGTTTCGCATATTATTTTGTTTGTTTCAAGAATGATTTTGTTTAGCATCGTAATGCATTAGGACAGCGGTAGTTCGCAAATGTATCCGGGAACTTAAAGTATGTGCGAAATTAAGCGTATGCCTTTTGGCGTGCATTTGCTTCACCACAATACAAGCATCCTGTCATCCACTAGCAAGGAGAAAAGTCTTTTGCTGTAGCGTTAGTAGGGCCGACACGACTTCTTGAAATTCAGGAATATCGAACTAACTCCTCTCATCACTCCACTCAAACGTGCCAGAAGGCCACGCTCTCTCCCTTCTTTAGCAGAATCTCCGTTGTTTTCATCAGAGTCATCGTCTTCATCTTCACTGTTGTATTCAGGAAACCGTGGCAAATCGTCTTCATCCTCTTCCTTTGGAATTGAATCTAAGGACTCTGCCGCGTCAGAAAGATCGTCTTCGAAGTCTTCGATGTCCAATCTGGCTCCGTCACAAGGAATATCAAAGATTCCCTCGAAATGGTCGATAAAATTTTGAGTAGTTTACATTATTCTCCTTCATGACATGTTGTAAAAATGTCACTGAAGATCAAAACCCAGCAAATATTGATAATATTTGGTAATAATGAAAGAATCACGAAAATGCTCGCAAATGAAAGCTGCAGGCGTTGTAAACAAAAAATAACCGTAGAGGCCTGGTAACATTTATTTAGGATAGCCGCTGAGAGAAAAACTGCAGTCACGCAAGATATACTATATATCGGACATTGGTCAACAAAGGGTTAAAAACTTGGCGGTTTGAGGAAGGTAGAGAAAACTCGGAAAAAATAAAAAGATGATGACAAACAAAGACCAAATTCTCAGCGAAGGATTTTAATAATAATAGTAATGGTAATAAAAAATGATAATAGCACCAGTGATAGTGATAGTAATAATGATACTAATGTTGATAACAATGACAATGTCGATTTTGATAATGACGATAAAATCAAAACGACTACTACCAGAGATAATAAAAATGATAATAATATCAAGAACAACAATAACAGAAACGACGGCATTAACGTAAATATTATTTGCAAATTGACTAAGGCCAGGCTTAAAAATTGGCAAACTTTCTCACTCCATACCTGCGCAGAACTCTTTTTGCATTAGTGAAAATGGCTCAACAAGTCCTCGAGATCTCTAAAGCTGAGTTATTCAGGTATACACATATAAGACGCCTAAATCGGAACAGATCTAACTTGGAATCTGTTTCTTTTCTTACTCTGGAGACATATTCTGAAATTGTCTCTTTTAAAAGAAGCTTTAGTTGAACTGGGTCATTTTAAATTACTTTTCCTCAGATTCTGATGATGTCCCAGATGAATGTACATCGTACAACGTTTTCAATGAGCCGGACAGATATTGGAGCAGTACTGGACATTCTATGATATGCGATAATAATCTTGCCAGTGATCATGACGGTTGGTACCGCTTCGAGGGTGCTGCTGGAATAATGATGGCTACTCATTGTATTCCAATACAAAGTTGCAATAGCCACATGGCGGGTTGGATCGGTGGTGGTGATCACCCCTCCTCAGCTTACCAGAAGGTGACGAGAACAGCGTATATGCATTACGGCTCAAGTTGTGAAAATGTGGCTTACCCCG